TGGTTGTCAGTTATAATACGTTTTGAAATACATCCTTCAACAACATCATCAGGAGCAATCCAAATAAAAAATATATTAGATTCATTTATGTCGCATAATGTTGCCCATTTTTTTAAAGTGCTGTTGTTATTTCTTGTCAAAAAATTTTTTGCGCTATCTGCATGCTTTTCAAGCTTACTGACAGTGATTTGAAATGCAAATAATATTTCATCATGAGAATCCCAGAGAAGACAATCTACAAAAGGATAAGTAGGAGATTCCGGAATAAAGAAAGTTGTTTGATCTATATTGAAATTATTCAGATGGATAGGAACATCATTATTGGTAAATCTAATCACATTGTCAAATTGAACTTTCTGATCGAATTTAACAGATTTTGTTCTTGAAAAATTTCTAATTAAAATAAAATAAGGTTATATTTATTATTTATATAATGAATTTAATCATTAGTATTAACTTTACTTACCGACATTTAAATTCAAATAATCTTTTAATTGCCATTTCAGTTATAATATACAATTCTGCAACCCTTCCTTTAGCATCATTTGTATACGCTGAACTTTGAAGAACCGTTGATGCAACCATTTGAATACCATTAATAATCTCCTTATTATGACCATATATAATTGCTAGTTTGGCAAGTGGGTGAATAGCAATAATTGTTTTAACTTTAACCTCTTTATCCTTATTCTGACCTTCCCAAACTGAAGCAGTATCTATATACATCAGTTGTCGATCCATTCCATATGTTATTTGAGGAGGAGTAATTTGAAGAATCATGGAATAAACGCATTGAGAAAGACTTAATTTTCTTTCGATTGACAAACTTTCCCTATAAGTTTGATGATTCAATTCAATAGCTTTTATTCGAATTTCTAAGTAATTTTGAGTCTTCTCTGACAAATTATCACCCGGTGTCTGATGCCACATATCTAGCTCCAGTGGATAGGCACCTGTCCAAAATTTGATAGCGTCCAACTGTGACTTAACTTCTGGATCTCCATCAATATAATAATTATACAATTTGCACCATTCATTGAATTCTTCATCACAATAACCACCATATAAATTTAATTGCTTCCATGAGTTAAACTCTTTTGGAAATACTTCATTGTTAGCCGATGCTGAAATTATGATGAGACCATTATCTTGTAGACTCGTACAAAGTGATTTTACAATTACAAAGGGAAATTTATAAAGGGCGTTGTATTTATACAGAGCATTATGTTGATCGAAGATCCAAATCCAATATAAATCTTTGCTTATGACAAATGTTGTTAATTCTTTAAGAAATAATAAAAAGAGTTCCTTCCTAAATGCAGTTTAAAGTTATTTGAAGAAAAATAATTTAAACCAGTTAATTATATTATTAAAATTCGCGAAATGATTCAATTACCTATCAGGAACTCTAGATTTCATCACAAATTCAACCCATTCAACTATAGACTTTGTTGGTAGTTCATCTTTGTTGAAAGTACATATCAACTCCTTCAACAAATATTCATATGGATCTGTCTGATGAGAGTTCCACCACACATCACAACTGTTGATATATGTCACCCTACACTCGTTGGATTTCAGACGGAGTTGTGAAACAACATAATACAAGGAATACGATTTCCCTAAACCAGAAGGACCATGTATATAAAGACCTCTAGAAGCATTTACTTTGTCGACAGCTTGTCTAAAAGCATTCCAGATTTGTTCATGGTATTTCCTATTAATAACTGATATCTTTTCGTCACGAATGTGGAAACGTTCTTGAAGTTTATTAAATCCTAGCTTTGGAAATTCGAAAGTGGTAACGGTAACAGAAGAACGAATCAAACTTTCAGAGAATTTCTGCAAATCGGCGTCCGTCTTTGCTGCTTGTTGTACAAGTGCATTGAAATCGAAGAGAGATTTAGGTTCA